GAGGTGAGTGGCAGGGTGTTTATTGAATAAAATCAAAATGGCACACCATCATCCTCTAACTTGGCACTTAAAGCAAGAGGCTTACGACTTTTCTATTTATTACAGCTAACCTTAGACGCCATCGTCAGTGAGAGCCAACTAGTTAACGAAAGAGTAAATGAGAGAGAGAACGAGATACAGAGTTGAGACAATGTAAGAACACAAACTGAACAGGTAGTGGACGATCACTTGGTCAGGCGAAATGTGTATTAATGTGTGTCTACTTTTAGTTCATTCACGTCCATTTGTAAGAGTTTGTAAAACATTTACCTCAATATTTTTTTATTTTAATAATAATTACATCACAGTACAAATACTCTTACATTGTGTACAAGTTGTACAAGTTAGTTCAGAATAAACAAACAGCAACACCATTTTTAGAGTGAATGAAGATAATAATATTAATAATGATAATAATAATAATTATTATTAATAACAATTATTATTATAAAAAGCACTAAACCCACAAGGGTCGGTGAATTGCTATAACATTAGATAAGGGCATACGAAAAGTAATATTTTCTAGTTCCCTACCCCCAGGTTTGACAGAGAAAACGAATTCTTCCAACACTACCTAAACAGCGCTTTGTAAACAAATAGACTGAATTAATCAAATTTTATCTGAGGGGGTATATCATGTTTATTATGCTAATTGTAATGGTTTCATAATAATTGTTGAAGAAAATATCATAAGATGATTAATGAAAATGCCTATATGATGTAAAATAAGACATTTAGTTGTGCCTAAGAGATAATTAATACGTAGTATTGGCTCATGAGTAGAGGAGACTTAGCGATTTTATGTGTAACCTGCACACCACACAGTGTGTAAGTATATTATTAATAACAGGAAACACTAAAAAAGTTAATTCAACAGTGATGGAGTGAATATGATGAAAGTTTTTCTTTTTCGGGCCACCCGCCTAGTGTTGGAATCGCCAGTGGTAAAAAAAAAAACAAAAAACTATAATAATATGCAGTAACTTAAACATTGAAATTTGAGAATGGTTTCCTGACATAAATAATGTGGTCACGGAAAAGTAAACAAACGAGTGGTGGCGCCGTATTTAAAAAGACCGTGCGTATGCAAATTTTGGTCATAATTTACGTATATTGCCAGTATAGCGAACGCTGTAAGGTGAAACGCCGTAAAGCGGCTGCTGTACATGTATGTGTAGTCGGTACCTAAGTTAAGTATAGGTAGCAGAACGTACCTGAAATCTTGCATGTTGTTGCTCTTGTACAACAAACGCCAATATCCCACCGAAGCAGGATTTACCTGGAGACAGTTCCGGGGTACAAGCCCCTGCGGCCCGGAACTGTGACCAGGCCGCCTGGATGAACAGAGGCCTATCAACCAATTTTGGTCTATTTGACTGGCTGCGTCAAGCCAACGTACGAGCCAAGCCCGGCTGGTCAGGAACCGACTTTAGGTGCTAGTGTCCAGGTAGCAGCAGCTTGAAGACTGCCAGGGGTCCTTTCAATGGTAATCCCCCTAATTATGCTGGAGGCAGTTGAACCTCGGCCGGTCTGTGCGAGCCCCTGGGATCAACTATATTGTATGGTCTGCTAATAACGTAGTGACATCCCTGCTTTCACTTGGTGGGATGTTGCATCGTCTGCAAGATCTTGCTCTTCGTAGATGAGTTGATTTTGCAAGTGACAAGTCTCGGTACTAGTCACCTCTAAGGATTTTCAGGTGTATATAATCAATGTATCTCCCTGCCTGCATTCCAGGGAATACAGGGTTTTGGAACCTCAAGCGCTCCCAGTAATTGAGGTGTTTTATCTCCGTTATGCACGCCGTGAAGGTTCTCTGTACATTTTCTAGGTCAGCAATTTCACCTGCCTTGAAAGGTGCTGTTAGTGTGCAGCAATATTCCAGCCTAGATAGAACAAGTGACCTGAAGAGTGTCATCATGGGCTTGGCCTCCCTAGTTTTGAAGGTTCTCATTATCCATCCTGTCATTTTTCTAGCAGATGCGATTGATACAATGTTATGGTCCTTGAAGGTGAGATCCTCTGACATGATCACTCCCAGGTCTTTGACATTGGTGTTTCGCTCTATTTTGTGGCCAGAATTTGTTTTGTACTCTGATGAAGATTTAATTTCCTCATGTTTACCATATCTGAGTAATTGAAATTTCTCATCGTTGAACTTCATATTGTTTCTGCAGCCCCACGAAAGATTTGGTTGATGTCCGCCTGGAGCCTTGCAGTGTCTGCAATGGAAGACACTGTCATGCAGATTCGGTGTCATCTGCAAAGGAAGACACGGTGCTGTGGCTGACATCCTTGTCTATGTCGGATATGAGGATGAGGAACAAAATGGGAGCGAGAACTGTGCCTTGTGGAACAGAGCTTTTCACCGTAGCTGCCTCGGACTTTACTCTGTTGACGACTACTCTCTGTGTTCTGTTAGTGAGGAAATTATAGATCCATCGACCGACTTTTCCTGTTATTCCTTTAGCACGCATTTTGTGCACTATTACGCCATGGTCACACTTGTCGAAGGCTTTTGCAAAGTCTGTATATATTACATCTGCATTCTTTTTGTTTTCTAGTGCATTTAGGACCTTGTCGTAGTGATCCAATAGTTTGAGACAGACAGGAGCGACCTGTTCTAAACCCATGTTGCCCGGGGTTGTGTAACTGATGGTTTCTAGATGGGTGTGATCTTGCTTCTTAGGACCCTTTCAAAGATTTTTATGATATGGGATGTTAGTGCTATTGGTCTGTAGTTCTTTGCTGTTGCTTTACTGCCCCCTTTGTGGAGTGGGGCTATGTCTGTTGTTTTTAGTACTGTGGGACGACCCCCGTGTCCATGCTCCCTCTCCATAGGATGGAAAAGGCTCGTGATAGGGGCTTCTTGCAGTTCTTGATGAACACGGTGTTCCATGAGTCTGGCCCTGGGGCAGAGTGCATGGGCATGTCATTTATCGCCTGTTCGAAGTCATTTGGCGTCAGGATAACATCGGATAGGCTTGTGTTAATCAAATTTTGTGGCTCTCTCATAAAAAACTCATTTTGATCTTTGACTCTCAGTCTGGTTAGCGGCTTGCTAAAAACTGAGTCATATTGGACTTGAGTAGCTCACTCATTTTCCTTGCTGTCATCTGTGTAGGACCCATCTTGTTTAAGTAGGGGCCCAATACTGGACGTTGTTCTCGACTTTGATTTGGCATAGGAGAAGAAATACTTTGGGTTTCTTTTGATTTCATTTATGGCTTTTAGTTCTTCCCGCGATTCCTGACTCTTATAAGATTCCTTTAGCTTAAGTTCGATGCTTGCTATTTCTCTGACCAGTGTCTCCCTACGCATTTCAGATATATTGACCTCTTTTAGCCGCTCTGTTATTCTTTTCCGTCTCCTGTAAAGGGAGCGCCTGTCTCTTTCTATTTTACATCTACTCCTCCTTTTTCTTAGAGGAATAAGCCTTGTGCATACATCGAGTGCCACCAAGTTAATCTGTTCTAGGCATAAGTTGGGGTCTGTGTTGCTTAGTATATCTTCCCAGCTTATATCGGTTAGGACTTGGTTTACTTGGTCCCACTTCGTTTTTGTTATTGAAGTTGAATTTGGTGAATGCTCCCTCGTGACTAGTCTGATTATGTCGGTCTGGGGCTCCACGCATACATGTCTGAACCTCAATTATGTTGTGATCTGAGTATATTGTTTTTTGATATGGTGACATTTCTTATCAGATCATCATTGTTAGTGAAGATGAGGTCTAGTGTATTCTCCAGTCTAGTAGGCTCTATTATTTGCTGGTTTAAATTGAATTTTGTGCAGAGATTTAAAAGCTCGTGTGAGTGTGAGTTTTCATCAGAGCTGCCTCCTGGTGTTATTACTGCAACAATATTATTTGCTATATTCCTCCATTTTAGGTGCCTTAAGTTGAAATCCCCCAGGAGCAAGATGTTGGGTGCAGGAGCTGGAAGATTTTCCAGACAGTGGTCAAATTTTAACAGCTGTTCCTGGAATTGCTGGGATGTTGCATCCGGAGGCTTGTAGACTACTTTACTGCTAAAACTTCCACTACATCATTTGAGGCATTAAGCAGGGTGGCCCGTAAAGAAAAACAAAAATTTCTCTTTTCAACTTTGGTAATGTATACAGGATAAGGGGCTACTAGCCCCTTGCTCCTGGCATTTTAGTCTGTAAGTAAAAGTAACAAGACATACCTGAAATCTTGCATGTTTGTGAGACAGAAAAAAAAAGACACCAGCAATCCTACCATCATGTAAAATAATTACATGCTTTTGTTTTACACTCATTTGGCAGGACGGTAGTACCTCCCTGGGCAGTTGCTGTTTACCAACCTACTACCTAGAGCTTAAAATTTATTGTCTTATAAATTTCATCATTAGCTCCTTTAGAATCACATTTAAGATGATATGGCCAGTTGAAGCTATCACAGTATGTACGGTTTGTTTCTTGGGAAAGAACTAATGTGCCCTCTTGTCCTCACATTCATTCATTCATGGGATAGCAATTTTTTTCCACTTAATAACTGAGAAATGGAAAAATAAGATGGCATGTAATTTTGATGAAAAAAGTGATATTGCATGATATGGTCATGTTGAGACTAGGTAACATTACTGGAGTAGACAATGTTTAATCATTTCAAGGCAGGAGGAAGCAATGAAAACAGAAGGTAGTCAGTGAAAGTAAGATTGAAATGTGTACATTTGAATACTAAACAAGAAGTTGCAATGAACAGGGCAATGTGTAAGTAGCTTGTTGGAGCATTATGAATTATTAATCATTTTATTACCTTACCACTCACTTTTTTTGGAGTGCTTTGCACTTGGACTTGTCAGTGGTTGAGATATGGCTGTGGACATCTTGCTAAAGTGTGATGTCATCAGTTTCCTGTGATGTTACTGAATATGGATGGTTATGATTTGAAGTGGGAATCAGTAAGTATGATGGTACTGATAATTTATTCTCTCTTTCAGGCGTCACACTTTTCTACCATATTACTACAGCATAAAAGGAAAACCCAAAGATGGCTTTTCCTATGTCCGATATGTCAATGGGGGACATCCACCGTGGACTCTCATATATCCTTTGATAATCTTGCTGATGTATAATGATTTATTATTAAATTACTTTTACTCATGTACAGTTATTCTAATATAATATTTGCCAAACATTTTCACACATTCTTTTAAGACATTTGTTGAACTATTTCTCTGCTGATTATTTCATTGCATGCACATTTATATACCCCCCACCCCCCACCCCCCACCCCCACTCCCACCCCCATCCCACCCCCACTCCCACCCCCACCCCCAACCCTCCAGGTGCCAACACCCTCCCATTCATCCTTACTACTGCACCAGCATTACCATCATGGTGCCTAGAGACGATCATCATTTGCGTTTTCTCAGGTGCAAATGTTACTTGCCATCTATTTCCCCAAGCTAAATATAGCTCTCAGCTGGTGATTGATGTAGCTTAGAGCAGCTGGCATTTCTTCTCTTGGATAAGTGAATGTCAGTGTACAGTCGTCTGCATATGCATGGGATTCTGGGATGAGATGAAGAAGGTCGTTGAAGTAGACATTCCATAACAATGGTCCCAGCACGCTTCCTTGTGGAACACTTGCCCCAGTAGGATGTCTTGCTGATTCCGTTCCATTGAGAACTACCCTTAGAGATGTACCATGAAGGTAATCACTGAGGAGACATAGCGTAGAGCCTGCAATTCCCAGTGCTTGAAGTTTTGCCAAGGGGCCCTGGTGCCACACTCGGTCGAAAGCATCAGCAGTGTCCAGTGCTTCCACACAGCTGACTTTGGATTCATCCAGTGACTGGTGCCATTTAGTGGAGAGGTTTAACAACAGATGAGCAGCAGAGTACCCTTTCCTGAAGCCATATTGACAGTCACAAAGTAATAAGTGGTAGTCAAAAAACTCTGTGATTTGTATTGATGTTATTGTCTCAAGGATCTTGCCAATGATTGACAGGAGTGACACTGGTCTGTAGTTGCTGATTTCTGCTCTGCTCTTCTTTTTGTGAACAAGAACTACATTTGCCTCTTTCCACAGAGAAGGCCATTTACACTGTACTAGGCAGTGCTGAAATATGCGAGTTAGAGGTGCTGCTAGCTGGTCTGCACATCATCTTAGCAATCTTGGGCTCAACTTGTCTGGGCCCACAGCCTTTTCTTGGTTAAGCGATTTAAGAAGGAAATGCACCTCCTCCTGACTTGTTATCACCACTGACAGTTTTGACACAGTTCTTGCAGCTAGCCAGGGAGGGTCCCTTGCTGGATCAAAAACTTGCATTTTGGTAGCAAAGAGGTCCGCTTTCTCTTGACTACTAGTAGAGGTGGTCCCATCCTGTCAATTTAGAGGTGGAATGAGTTCATCAGGCAGATAACCTTGTCTGTCCTTGATCAGGGACCACCAGGTTATGGAGCCTACTCTATCAATTCTATGGTTAACTTCATCCTTCATAAAACCATCCGCTGACAAGTCAACTCCCAAATATCTGAAAACATTCACTTCTTCCATATTCCCTCTCTCCAAAGTGATATTCAATTTTTCTTAATCTAAATCATTTGATACCCTCATCACCTTACTCTTATCTATGTCCACTTTCAACTTTCTACCTTTACCCACCCTCCCAAACTCGTCCACTAACCTTTGCAACTTTTCTTTAGAATCTTCCATAAGCACAGTATCATCAGCAAAAAGTAACTGTGTCAACTCACATTTTGTATTTGATTCCCCATAATTTAATCCCACCTCTCTCCCCAACACCCTAGCATTTACTTCTTTTGCAACCCCATCTATAAATATATTGAACAACCATGGTGACATAACATCCCTGTCTAAGACCTACTTTTACTGGGAAGTAATCTCCCTCCTACACACCCTAACCTGAGCCTCACTATCCTCATAAAAACTCTTTACAGCATTTAGTAACTTACCACCTATTCCATATACTTGCAACATCTGCCACATTGCTCCCCTATCCACTTTATCATATGCCTTTTCTAAATCCATAAATGCAGTGAAAACTTCCCTGCTTTTATCTAAATATTATTCAATGTAAAAACTTGATCTATACATTCCCTACCCACTCTAAAGCCTCCTTGCTCATCTGCAGTCCTACTCACTGTTTTACCTCAAATTCTTTCGATAATAACCCTTTTCTGGTATACTCAGTAAACTTATTACCCTATAATTTTTACAATCTCTTTTGTCCCCCCTTCCCTTTATATAAAGGAACTGTACATGCTCTCTGCCAATCCATAGGTACCTTCCCCTCTTTCATTATTATTATTATTATTATTATCACACTGGCCGATTCCCACCAAGGCAGGGTGGCCCGAAAAAGAAAAACTTTCACCATCATTCACTCCATCACTGTCTTGACAGAAGGGTGCTTTACACTACAGTTTTTAAACTGCAACATTAACACCCCTCCTTCAGAGTGCAGGCACTGTACTTCCCATCTCCAGGACTCAAGTCCGGCCTGCCGGTTTCCCTGAATCCCTTCATAAATGTTACTTTGCTCACACTCAACAGCACGTAAAGTATTAAAAACCATTTGTCTCCATTCACTCCTATAAAACACGCTCACGCATGCCTGCTGGAAGTCCAAGCCCCTCGCACACAAAAACCTCCTTTACCCCCTCCCTCCAACCCTTCCTAGGCCAACCCCTACCCCGCCTTCTTCCACTACAGACTGATACACTCTTGAAGTCATTCTGTTCGCTCCATTCTCTCTACATGTCCGAACCACCTCAACAACCCTTCCTCAGCCCTCTGGACAACAGTTTTGGTAATCCCGCACCTCCTCCTAACTTCCAAACTACGAATTCTCTGCATTATATTCACACCACACATTGCCCTCAGACATGACATCTCCACTGCCTCCAGCCTTCTCCTCGCTGCAACATTCATCACCCACCTTCACACCCATATAAGAGCGTTGGTAAAACTATACTCTCATACATTCCCCTCTTTGCCTCCAAGGACAAAGTTCTTTTGTCTCCACAGACTCCTAAGTGCACCACTCACTCTTTTCCCTCATCAATTCTATGATTCACCTCATCTTTCATAGACCCAATCCGCTGACACTCCACTCCCAAATATCTGAATACGTTCAACCTCCTCACATACTCTCTCCCTCCAATCTGATATTCAATCTTTCATCACCTAATCTTTTGTTATCCTCATAACCTTACTCTTTCCTGTATTCACCTTTAATTTTCTTCTTTTGCACACCCTACCAAATTCATCCACCAAACTCTGCAGCTTCTCTTCAGAATCTCCCAAGAGCACAGTGTCATCAGCAAAGAGCAGCTGTGACAACTCCCACTTTGTGTGTGATTCTTATCTTTTAACTCCACGCCTCTTGCCAAGACCCCTGCATTTACTTCTCTTACAACCCCATCTATAAATATATTAAACAACCACGGTGACATCACACATCCTTGTCTAAGGCCTACTTTTACTGGGAAAAAATTTCCCTCTTTCTACATACTCTAAACTTTAGCCCACTATCCTCGTAAAAACTCTTCACTGCTTTCAGTAACCTACCTCCTACACCATACACTTGCAACATCTGCCACATTGCCCCCCTATCCACCCTGTCATTACGCCCTTTTCCCCAAAACCATAAATGCCACAAAGACCTCTTTAGCCTTATTTAAATACTGTTCACTTATTTTTTTCACTGTAAACCCCTGGTCCACACACCCCCTACCTTTCCTAAAGCCTCCTTGTTCATCTGCTATCCTATTCTCCGTCTTACTCTTAATTTTTCAATTATAACTCTACCAACACTTTACCAGGTACCTCAACAGACTTATCCCCCTATAATTTTTGCAAATCTCTTATATCCCCTTTGCCTTTATACAAAGGAACTATGCATGCTCTCTGCCAATCCCCAGTACCTTAAACCCCCTTCCATACATTTATAAATAATTGCACCAACCACTCCAAAACAATATCCCCAAACCCGCTTTTAACATTTTTTATCTTTATCCCCATCAATCCGGCTGGGCCCTTTCCCCCTTTCATTTTACCTACTGCCTCACAAAAATTCCCCCACACTCATAACTGGGTCTTCCTCACCCTACAAGATGTTATTCCTCCTTGCCCTATACACGAAATCACAGCTTCCCTATCTTCATCAAAAATTTAACAATTCCTCAAAATATTCCCTCCATCTTCCCAAACCTCTAACTCTCCATTTAATAACCTCCTCTCCTATTTTTAACTGACAAATCCATTTGTTCTCTAGCTTTCTTAACTTGTTAATCTCACTCCAAAACTTTTTATTTTCAACAAATTTGTTTTATAACATCTCACCCCACTCTCTCATTTTCTCTCTTTTTTACATTGCTTCCACCACTCTCTTAACCTCTCTCTTTTCTCCATATACTCTTCCCTCCTTGCATCACTTCTACTTTGTAAAAACTTTCATATGCTAACTTTATTTTCCCTTACCACTCTCTTTAACATCATCATTTTCCCCCAATCGCTCCTCTTCCCTCCTGCACCCACTTTCCTGTAACCACAAACTTCTGCTGAACACTCTAACACTACATTTTAAAAACCCACCCCATACCTCTTCGACCCCATTGCCTATGCTCTCATTAGCCCATTTTATCCTCCAATAGCTGTTTATATCTTACCCTAACTGCCTCCTCTTTTAGTTTATAAACCTTCACCTCTCTCTTCCTGATGCTTCTATTCTCCTTGTATCCCATGTACCTTTTACTCTCAGTGTAGCTACAACTAGAAAGTGATCTGATATATCTGTGGCCCCTCTATAAACAGTACATCCTGAAGTCTACTCAACATCTTTTATCTACCAATACCCTAAAACCAACAAAAATACTGTCATTTCGCCCTACATCATATCGTGTATACTTATTTATCCTCTTTTTCTTAAAATATGTATTACCCATAACTAAAACCCCCTTTTTATAACAAAGTTCAATCAAGGGCTCCCATTATCATTTACACCTGGCACCCCAAACTTACCTACCACACCCTCTCTTTAAAAGTTTCTCCTACTTTAGCATTCAGGTCCCCTACCACAATTACTCCTCTCACTTGGTTCAAAAACTCCTATACATTCACTTAACATCTCCCAAAAATTTTCTCTCTCTCTCCTCTGCATTCCTCTCTTCTCCAGG